CATACAATACATGGTCATCCCCAGTGGACTGACTCAGCTTAGTTTGTATGGAAAGAACTCATTTGTCACATAAATGATGGAACTTTAGTCAAAATGTCAGGTGAAGATAACAGGTGGTAAAGTGTGGGGGTTTTTAAACCTGTGATTTCAAGGTAATAATGAAACAAAAATTATATTAAAAAAAAGAAAAGATTTACAAAACATGAAGGACACATAAAAACATTAAACAATTATACAAAGGCAATCCAAATGACGATAAACGATGTGAACGTATGTAAAATTAGAATCTTGGAGAATGTTCATGGCCAGCCTGATCCGGCCCTAACTATAACCTTTATCAAAACGAAAGCCCGCCTCCCAAACAAACTGCTAGCTGAAATGTAAAGATTATTATATTCTTTCTTAATTGGATAGTTTGTCAATTATTAGACCATATTGGACTAGGTTGGGCTTAGGATTGGGTGGGATCGTAAGAATTCCAAAGGCAAAAAAAAACATTTTGAATTAATAATTTGCCCAAAAATATTATTTATAGTTATCATGTTACAGGATCTTTCTTTAGTATGTTAGTTATTAAACAATCTCATAGGAATAATCCATTTAAGCAACTAAATGTTGTAAAAGGGAATTGTGAAAGTGATAGAAATTGAATTTCCCTTCAATATTAGGAGTATGTTTGGAAATCAAATCATAATGTGACAGTGTGTTCCATGTTGCAAGTTTTTTTTTACAACTATTTCTTGTACTTTGCATTTCATGCTAGATTTAGCCTTCGTGTTTGTATGAAATTGAAAGTGTGTATGCTGGTGTGTGTTTGTGTGAGAGTATAAGAGGATTAAGGCCTGTTCACAGCCGAGGGTGCAGACTACCCCGTTCCTGATCATTTCCTCTGTATGTCCGATTGGCTGATGAGGTATTAACTTGCCTCTGGGTTGTTATTTGTGTCTCTGTCGGATTGTGCAAAGACGTGTCTCCAAAAACAGCTTAAATGTCCTCCTTGTCCAACACTGCCAAGAACCAGCCCCCCTTCCTCCAGTCGACTCGAGTCTGAAAAACCTCCGCTGTTATCTCCAGCTGTGGCATCCGGTGCTGTTTTACTGATAGCTTTTTCAACTCTGTATCTAAGGTTGACTTGCACTTTCTTTTGAAGTCTGGCCACTGGTGTTTCCCCAGAACACAGCTCTCGTCCCAGCGAGCGTACAGAGTCAAAACCAACAACAGAATGACTTCCAAGATTAGGCCATTGTTGTTTTCCTTGACAAAAAGCAAAAAACTCAGAAATAGCATTGTCTCAAAAGCATACGTTATCTGAATAGTCACATTTGGAAGCTGCTATCAACTTTCAATTTTCAAAAACACTAAATTGTCAACATTTAAAAAGGTCAACCACTACATATTAGCTCAAAATATTTATCATTCAGCTCAGATCCGCCATCCATTAAAAGCCCACATGTGACAAACCCAACAGTAGTTTCCATTTCTTCATTGGCTTCCCTCCAGAGCAGCATTATCTACATATCACGTCGGACAAAACCACCTTGTAAATAACCATATTACTTTACCCAGTGACATCAGCCCCAGAGATCCCCAACATTAGAGTGCTGGGGGATTGTGTCGGGGGCGTGAGAGGTTAAGACTTGTTGAATAGCTGGTGGGCGTCACACAATGAGGAGGATTAGGCAGCACTAGAAAAGGCCTTTAGGGCTTTACTGGGGTGTTCAGCAGCTTATAGCGCCTACAATAACACAGCAACAGTGCAGATCTATGGGGTTGGCAAAAGGGCTAGCTGGGAGGGCAAGTGTCTGGCAGTTACAGTCAGTGTGGTAGGAAGCGAGGAAGCTGTAATGTAAGAATGGGAAGAATAAAACAAAGTTACTTGTGGGTAAAACGAAGCATTGAAGCATTTTCCCTTGAGGTCCCGTGGGTCCTTCTGAAGGACCCTTAGGTGTCACATTGGCATTTAGACAAGGAGTTAGCGGTGCAGGGCTGAGAGGTGAGGCTCCGTCTCAGTGGCTCCAGCACTTGTCTCTGCTCGCAAGGAGCCGTGGCTGGAAAAGTGATATCACTACAGATGACCCATATTCTGACGAGTAGACCATGGCACTGCGGGAATGCTGTTATACTCAGGAATCTTGTACAATAACTGTGTTTTAAAGTGCATGTTTTTCGTTCAGTAGATTCTAGTTATATGTCAGGACATATGAAGATGATATATGATTTCAGACACTATTATAATAGTTGCTCTTTTGTTGTTTGTTGTAACAAAAGGATGATCCTGGGTTTCACTTGAGACATATGAGTCGTAGAGAGATTTGAATCGTGACGCATTAAACAATTTATTTTCTGATTATTATTATTGTTACATGTTATTTAGCTGACCTTTTTCCCTAGTGACTACATACATTTAAGTACTGTAGAAAGGCCTTTGGGAGCAAGTATTTTGCCCAAGGACACTTCGACATGTTGTCTGCCGGTATGGGAATCGAACCATGACCCTGCTATTGGTCGACACCTTTTTGCCCCATGTGCCCGAGTCACCCCTCACATATGATAGCAGTAGAGTCAAAGTGTAAATGCTCTCTTATCTTGTTATAAAAGGATTTTCTGGTCAAAAGATTAGCTAGCAACCTGTTAGCAATCTCATCAAATAAAGTACCAGTGCAAGTGGCCTTGTAAATAAACACATTATCTGAGCCCAGAGCAGTGTGAAGCAGCAGTCCTCACCCCTGCCTGGGATTACTGCAGCATATCTGCCCTGTGTAGTGCTGGGAAATTAAAGTGGGAGGGGACGGGACGGGGGGGGGGGGGGGTGGGTAGTTTGGCAGCGGGCTGGGATAACACCGCAGCGTGGCACATTGCGTGTTAGCTGGATAATAACTGTGTGGTTTGTATTAGGGTTTCCTGGGCTAAAGTAAGAAGCTCCCACTTCCTGCATGCCCCGCTCCACGGAGACAGTATCCGAGTTGGCTCGTCATCTGAACATCTGCAGGACGTATCAAAACACACGCTGTGGTTTTATGTCGGTACACTTTGTGAATTTGAAAAGACTCTTAAGCTAATTAGAGCTCCTGTTCATCTCAAGGTCACTGATTTGTTCTGCCGTTAGTTTTTGACAGACAGCAGTGTGCAGTTCACCGTCACATAAAACAGCAGAAAGAATTCATAGCATGATTCTCTGGCACAGTAAAAACTCCAGCAGTGGAAACCGTTTTGAACTGATACAAGAAAGATACTTACTTACAGTGAGCACGTCTGCTTTCATGATTTTAGATTTCTGTTCAGTATTCACACTGGTTTTAATTGTATTGCAGTTTTTTGTCATTTGTATCAGCCAAAAAGCATTTATATGTTATTTAAACTCACTATCTTAAATATACGAGCAAAGATCTTGAAACGTGACAAGATCCCCACTCCCAATTCTTTTGCTAAATGCTAATTGGAATTTCTCAGTGGCATTAAACTCTAGAAATGTGTGAGTGTGTGATGCACATTCAGCTGGAAGTATGTCTCTATGTGATGTGTAACCATAAGACACATTCTCTTAGAGGAGCTGACATCACTCAGCTTTCAGAAGTCAACACATGTAGACGTCTAACAAGCCGACAGGAGACATGTTCAAAACAGGAAGAATCCAAAACCCTTTATTCAACCCACAGCGCAGTAATTCACATTGTCGCAGCAAAGGTATAGCTCGGATAAAAGGCAAATCAAATGAGTAGACTATCATATGAATATAGCACAAGATAGTAAAACAAGGTATAAAAGCATTTCAAGTTAATGAACATTCATAAATTAGTTGCCTAGCAGCCAGTAATAACATTTATAAATTGTAAAAGTAGACATTGCGAAATATTATTTCACAAGCAAATAAAAAAATGGGTTTGTACACAATACATGCGTTACAGTCCTAATACTGTTGCTCAGGGGGTAATTGGGTCTACCAATCAGAGTGTCGGTGGTTTGATCCCCGTCCCCTGCAGTCAACATGTGAAAGGGTTCCAGGCCAGGCATGTTTACATTCATTGTATGTAAATCACTTTGGGTTAAAGCGTCAGATAAATGGCATGCACGTCATCTTGTGAATATACAGTATATCAATAAGATGGTTTACAGCATGTTATAAAAGTAATAGGTACCTAATGGGTCGGTCCACCGGTGATGAAGAGTACCAGGAAGAAGAGTTAAGGGGATGTTGAGCAGAGAATGTTGGAATAACAGAATAACGCTTAATGTCCACTATGACATGTGTTAATCCCACATTATGCCAAAGATATCCCTCATTGAAAGTGCCATTAGAAATAAGCTCATTCTCACATAGTATTCACAGGTCAACAAAACATTTGTATTATCCAGACCAACACCATCTCCAATCTGTTGATTGCACACAGAATATGAATACAAAAGGAAACATCATTAATGATCTAACATCTTTAGGATAGTGCGATTAAAAGTAACTTCTTGCTGAGTCAGCAGTTATTAATGCAACTCATAGTGGCAACAGATTGGATAGATTTTACAGAGTAAACAGATGTTCTCATTTTCAAGACAACTTAGAAATGTTCTTATTCCATCCAACACCATTTCATATCTGCTAAGTGTACATGGAATATTCAAATAAGGCCCGCCAATGTTCATGGTTTTAAATATTGGAAGTAATATTTAGGTTTGCTACCCTGCCCTTATACTGAGAACATACAGAATGTCAGTACTTGTAGTAGCAACCGATCAGATCGGTTTCATGGCACAGAATAAACTAATATTATCATCTGGTTTTTTTATATTTGATGCTACTGACACATTACATTTTTTCCTGAAATATGATGTATATATAATAGGATATTATGTTTGTTACCCAGCCCTTACACTGAGGGCATATGTCAGGAGACAAATTGTGCATTTGGACTTTGACCATCATGTTTTCAGATTAGTTCATCTCACCTGATGTCTCCGACTCCACCCTCTCTCTCTCTCCTCTCTCCTCGCTCTCTCTCCCCCTGCAGAGCTGCAGAGAGAGGGCAGCATCGAGACCCTCAGTAACAGCTCGGGCTCCACCAGCGGCAGCATCCCCCGCAACTTCGAGGGCTACCGTTCCCCTCTGCCGACCAACGAGGGCCAGCCGCTCAGCCTCTTCCCCACCAACTTCCCCTAAGAGTCCCACCTCTCCCTCGGGAAGAAGCACCACCGTCCCCCCCACCTGCCTGCCTCCCCCCCCTGTCCCTCCACACAGCATCACACTGAGTGCAGAAACCAAAACGACGTGTGTTTCTCAGTAAAGTGTGTTCTTCTCATACAGTTCGCCACACATTAGTTAAATGCAGTTCTTTAATGATTGGGTTGGCTGCCATTGCTTCTGTAGTTTGTACATACTTCCATTCATCTTACATTTGAAGATGTATTCAAAATGTTCATGTCTTGGCGAAAACACTGACATTAATGTATTATACACACTTGAAAACTTATTTGAAGCTTAACGGCCATCGTTCGGGAGCTAATCTAAAGTGCAGGAAAATTGAAAGTGCCAATTTACAATGTGCTTTCATCTCAGAGTATTAAGTGGCATCTGTGTTCAGGGAGGATTTTCCTTTATTTTTAACTGAGCAGTTTAATCTAACCATCAGGAGCCGTCCTGTGTTTGTGCAGCTGATGTTTCCTCGTCATTCTTCGTGTGTTTGAAGTTTTACGGTGTGCCTATTGTCTGAAGGAGCCATGAGAAAGGCTGCGCCGCCGGCAGAGGAGGAGTGTTTATTCCAGGCAGTGACGTGTAGCAGCTCCTCTCCTCTCTGCTGCCGCTCCTCTCATGGCCACTCACTACATGTTGCTGATTACATTTGTTTTCCTCTCAGGCCTTTGATTATCATGAAATCACATTTGACAAAAGATGCAGTAATTAGATGACACTGTTACTACATTTCTGAAGTCATTTAGATATTTACAGTGTTGAGATATCTTTTTGACATCATTCAGCCTTTCCACATTTTAATTGAGCAGTTTAAACGTCATGCTGTATTTTGTACATTAGCAACTTTTGACCAAAATATTTTCTTGCTTATAGATAAAGATCGCTAAGAAAGTGTATTTTCATTAAATGTTTTAGCTTCGCCCATAGATTTGATAATCAGAAATGACTTTATAAAAATGAGTTTGTCCTGAGCAGATATGAAAAGTATTTACAGTCCAATTTTAAAATATATTAAATAATAGTTTACAATCACATGTCAGTGAGTGTTGTGAGGCGGCTGCATGTCATGTTGGCATGCATCTACTTGTTTTAATTCATGCTTGTTGTTGACGATATGTCAAATACTTACTTTGTTTCCCAGCATTCATGCAAGAAAAAGCATAATAAAACTCAAGGAAATGGAACTGTCTGTCTTTTTTTTTTTCTCCGTCTGATTGCTTCTAATTGTGCCGTTCAGATTTCTACCTCGGCGGTGACCATCAGCACATAGTAACCCTGTAATTAGTACCATATTTCTTTACAGGCAGTAAAGTGCTGTTAAAGGATCTTTTTATGGGCGACTGGCTCTTTGTTCTGAGAGAAGAAACAAGAGGCCATGTTAGTATCTTTGCTAATCAGGAAAGAACAGCCCAAACTCAGGGATAAAAGAACAAGTCATTTCAAATGGAATTAAATTAGCGGTGAATTCTTCCTTGTATGCTTTATTTCCTCCCATCGATGTGTTCATAGGCTACTAACCATAAAATGAAAAAGGGTCCTTGCCAAGCGACAGTAGATAAATGCCAAACTTAAAAAGAAACAGAAAAACTAAATGAAACAACTTAAATGCCTAAAACATTTAATAACTAAACACATGATATCTTTAACCTGTTTACAAATACAAGTAATAGTTGCACAGAACCTAAAACAACTGATTTAATGAAGATCTGAACCCATTTCATGTTTGTACGCAAACTCCCTTATGAATAATGTCGAAATAAGTTCCAGCTGGCAGGATGTGCTCCGCCACTTGGTCCAGAGGGAAGCTCAGCGTTATGCAACAAGAACAAGAGAAAACCACAGTTTCACCTTGAAGCTTTTTATTTGTTTCCAACAAAACATTTTACAAGGTTTAAATACTCACAATATATTACACATTATAAATGCTGGGGATATCCTATTGGTGATAAATAACAATATCGCATTTAAAAACGCACTAAAAGCCTGAAAACGTACATATGGAAGTTTAAAATGAATGTTTATATTTGGATATTTTGAACAAGCAGACATAGGCAAAGACATACAGTATTGATTTTGAGAAGAAATGCTCAAATAGTGAACCTTATAGTGAAGTCTAGCAGTAACTCAGAAAGCCATGTCCTGCCAGAGTCATGGAGCGTTACATTAAATCCTTACTCACTGATTCAAGACCATTTGGATAAGAGAGTCCATTTTCTGAAGAGTTAATGGAGCGAATTTTAAAGTCTCCAATCCAACATCCTGCGTCCAAACCTATGTTGAGTCCAAACTTGGTAACTTTCAGTAACATGGCAGAAAACTGTAGGCTTGCCAGCAGTCACAACTCTTCTGCTGAATGAACCCTAACCCTAACCCTACAAACATTAGCATTAGCTTGGTAAGCAAGAACTGATCCACAGGTAAGACTTTTTAACTGGAACAAACTCTCATATCTGACTGGGACAAAGCATGCTAACACTTATTGCTTACTCTGGGATGTGTTTGGTGGAACCCCATTAGCATTAGCATTAGTTTTGGCCATTCTTCCTGGGGTCCACACACAAGCAGTCAAACACATTATGCACACTCCAAGTGCATGAACACAACAAAAGTATCTCATGTAATTAAAAATCAAGGATGCAAGTGAAACTAAAATAATAATCTTTTCAACCATCATTCCCTAAATAAATAATAGTAATTCATTTCAAATATACTGTAGCACCTGTCTTGAAATAACTTTAAATGTTATATATGCTTCCAAGCATATTAAATACCCGTTTAAAAAAAGGGTTCAAATAATGAATGATGTGATGCCAATGTTAATGGATTATGTTTGTATAGGGAAGTCTCTATTCACATGCATCTACTGAGCGTTAGGGCTCTGTTTACAGTTTAGCTTTAGCTATGTCATGTCTGTCTGGTACTTGTATTATAATAAACATTGGGTTTTAAGTTTTTATCATTAACTTAATATAATATTACCGCAAACTTTTGTTTATAATCTTTAGTTTCAAATTGTTATAGCCTTGCTATATTGTTTCTAATTTAGAGGCTTTACTAGGTAGAAAACCCTTTACACTTGCTTCGTTTATCAAAAGCAACGAGCAGAAATATCTCCCAGTGCTTTGGGACCTAAGGGAAAACACTCACTTGTTGTTTTTCAAGCAAGCGCCAACATTTGAAGCTGATGCATAAAATTGTGCCGCTTGCTAATCTTATCCAAACTTTTAGATCTCATGGCCCTCGTTCACAATGTGACCGCTCCTGTTTCCACTCTCACTAAAGTAAATACAAATGCAGATCAGCAGGAACATCACTTGTAGCAATTAGTTTTTTACAGATAAAAATTGGGTTGAGACAGGTGACACTGGGCTGTGGTCCTTTATGTCAAAAACGTAAGTTAATAAAAAGAATTCTACCATATATGCCAAAGTCGACCCTGTGACTATTGATTTGTTTGCTATTTAGATGTGAACATTAAAATCCTGTTAGAGGCGAGCTATCAGAAATCATGTTATCATCTTAGTTTGATCCAATTTTAAGAATAGTTGGCAATTTGACCATATAGGCAATGTATCATTGTATCATTTACAAAAGGGTTTTCATCTCATAGACCTCAGATACAGTTCATCAAAATGAGTCTCTTTAAATGATCAGAATGCTGTATGCTGACTTGTAAGAGAGGAAGGCGTTATTACGCGTTTTTCTAAGTTTATTCTGAGTTAAAGAAATACATTTCAGGTCCATGTCATTGAATAACATGCAGATAAATACATGTATAAGAAGAGTTAACTATTTTAATGATTTGTACATTTTGTAAACATTTAAAATCTAAAAGTATGAAATCCCTTTCCAGTAGTTCCTTTAACAATATGTTGGGAGCCACTGACCCAGGGACAGCATTGTTAAACTCACCATCAGTGTGTTCAGACCTGTACAGTCCAGGTTCTCCCTGATCTGAGATCAGTGTTGCTGCTGGATCGGAAGAAGATAAGATTTGAATCAGTTTCTTGAGCATAATTTTTCTGGATCAGCTTCCCTTTTATCAAACATATTTATCCTGCAGGAAACAAAGAAATAAGAGTTCAGGTTCTGTGATGTTGAACGTTTGCATGATTTACAAATACATTTACCTTTCAATATACCTGAACAGAAGAGAAAGCTGGGATCCACATACCCACACTCCATTTACAATATTTGCTCCCTTTCATTTGATTAAGCCCAAATTAATTAATAGTCTGCACCCAAATCTGATAGAGGATATTTGACAGTCTAATTTTTTAAGGGGGCCGAGGTTCTTTGCATGAGATGCAGTCTGACTCATCATTCAACTCACTTACTGCGGCATTATATGACATTAATATAACACATCTGCAGATGTTTTATCGGTTTTTTATTGTGTCTTGAAGCTGTGAATAATTACAGAAAATGTAATCCAAGATGTTGTTATCATCTTTAATGGCAACATAATTCGAAACTTGAGTAGATTTAGGTTTTTATATCCTTCCAAATAAGGTTAACTCACTGTTGAATCGAAAGTAAGACTTGTACTCTTTCTTGTTTTTTTTAATGAGGTTGTGTGTGTGTGTGTGTGTGGTGTGTGTGTGTGTGTGTGTGTGTGTGTGTGTGCGCGTGTGTGTGTGTGCGTGTGTGTGTGTGTGTGCGTGTGCGTGTGCGTGTGGGCGTGTGCGTGTGTGTTGTGTGTTGTGTGTGTGTTGTAACTTGTGTGTGTGTCTCACCTGCAGGTAGCTGCTCCTCTGCTGCGCTCCTAATAAGATCCAATGTTCCCGGTGCTGCAGCTGCTAATTCAATTTCTCCTCGCTGTCAACACATCTGCAAACACACAACATATTATTATGCTGGTTTGAAAAAACCAGCCTCAACGAACTTTAAAAGTAATGGATAATATTAACAAGCCGATGTTCAAACGTTTCCTGATTAAGAATACGCTTCTTCTGAACGGAAAACAAACAGGAAGTGAAATTATTCTTTATTTGCTTGGCACCGTTACAAGCTGGTCTATACTTCAAAGTGTTACATCAAACTTACATGGATATACATATTGTTACAGAGAAATGCGATTTAATCATTTGATTTTTTAAGGGTTAGTTTGATTACATTAAATAAACTATATTCAGAATAAAAGCATTTCCGCGAATCCGTAAAAAAAAATAGTTGTATAAATGAGGTTGTATACCGAGAGGTGCTTGGATAAAAAAAAATCAAACTATCTGTTTTTAAAAATCAGCAAGTATGAAATAGATGTTTAACGTGTTGGTGGATTTTTTGTTTTGTTTTGGAAGGATTAAAGGTTATTCTCAGCGACAGTTTCTCAGTTTCGGGGACCCAGCATTTATAACATATATTTATGTGATTTTAAGATGTTTCCATGGGATCAAATGCCCCCTTCTTTTTTTACATGTTGATCCACATACACAAACGCAAAATAATAGCCCTACTTTTATATCTCTAAAGTTGAAATAAAATACAAAGTCATTCTGTGGATGCAGGGGCCCTATCGGCACTGTGGGGCCTCACCTTCAACCAGCCACCGACTACAGAGATGTTGTTTTATTACGGAACATTAAGACAGTAATGACAGGAGGTAATGTCATTGTGATATATTGGGAAGCACGCGTCACACCCAGTGATGTGTTTATAACTGGGTAAACACACCACGTGGGTGCGCGCATTTCTGCAGTGCGTCATGAATTTATAGACCTTTGATTGGACATACTGATAGGGAAGTGATAGGGAGTCTCCTTAGTACAATAACCTACGGCATTATTAGACCACATTTAGAATAACTGAAATCAGACATGTAGAAATTATTATAATGTAAAGAGATGAGCATAAATCAAAGCTATGTGTTTTTTGTAAAGGACTAAACCTCTGTGTGTGTGTGTGTGTGTGTGTGTGTGTGTGTGTGTGTGTGTGTGTGTGTGTGTGTGTGTGTGTGTGTGTGTGTGTGTGTGTGTGCGTGTGTGTGTGTGTGTGTGTGTGTGTGTGTGTGTGTGTGTGTGCGCGTGCGTGCGTGCGTGTGCATGTGTGTGTGTTTCTGAAGTATCAAAGTCTGGGCTGATGTGCGCCTTTGGGTGTGACACAGTGTCACTCTCCTGTGGCTCCCCAGGGTCCCTATAGCGCCCCCACCTGGCCCCCACAGCCTCCAAACAACACTGTAACTGCACTTCATGATACTCCTGTAAAATCTGCTTTAGGGCAGCAATGATATGATTGGATGTGATTAAGTTTGTCATGAAGTCATGTCCAGTAAAAATGTTTGTTTTATGGAAGAGCTGGGGTGCATCAGGTATTCCCAAAAAGCTTCTCCCATAGTGTATTGTTGAGCGTGTGTGTGTGTGTGCGTGTGTGTGTGTGGGGGGAACATACCGCTTTTCCTACAAGTGAGAACTGATATGTTTCGTTTAGCAGAGTGTACTGGAGAGGAGGAAGTGGAGGAGATGAAGGGGAGGAAGAGGAGGAGGAGGGCTGCTGGTAGATGTACGATGGGGATGAGGGAGGAGAAGGAGAAGGAGAAGAAAAGGAGGGAGGGAGGGAGAGAGGGAGAGAGGGAGAGAGGGAGGAGGAGAGGGCCGCTGGTCGCCGGGTTTCCATGTGACAAGGGGAAATATGAGGGACTTTGACAGGTCTTAAACGGTCTGGCGCCAAGGCCTCAGTCTAGCCGCTAAATATAGCCGGAGAGATGATGCAGGGAGATGGGAGGAGAAGATGGAGAGATAAAAAGGAAGAAAGGAACAATGTCGAGGAGAGGAAGAAAATAACAATACTCGATTATGGGCCAATATGGCGCAAAACTGTCCCGTTATGTTGTAATTAGAGCAGTCTTTGGCCGGGGATCGCTGGCATGTGGGCCGAATCACCGGTAGGCTACGGAAGACGCTTTTTAGCACATGTTCACATCTGCAGCTGGAGTGTATTGTATTTAGCGGACGGATCAAGTACATAGAAAACCCTTAGTCAACTTCCTACTGTATGAAACGCGTCATGCCAGCATTTAATTCACAACTCCAGAGAAAAGGTGACTGACAACTCTCAAATATAAACATCCAAACCTGCTTGTTTTGACTATTTCCGGGTATAGGCTACAACAATTAAAAAAGTAAATCAATGCATAATTTAAACTAGTATTACTTTTGCAATTTATTCTCCGTTCAAAGTGATCCTAATCCAGTGGTGTAAAGTAACTATACGTATACATTTACTCAAGTACTGGTAAATAGTGTCGGCTACTTTTACTCCACTACATTTATGCAATGCCTTTAGTTACTTTGCAGATTGTCATTAATAATATTAAATGAAATTAACATGCACATTACCCTTTAGTTACACCTGGAGTAAATGCACAAGCTACCCTGCAGTATACAAAGTCATTACAACTGCATTTTACCAGCTTTGATAACACTTTAATGCATAAATTATTATAATCATAAAATATATTATATATATAGACAATCTGCATAATGAGTAGCCTACTTCTACTTTTGGTACTTTAAGTATATGTTGATGCTAATACTGTCCTTTTACTTGAGTTACATTTTGCAGGACTTGTAACAGAGTATTCTTACTTAGCTCTACTTTTACTCAAGTACAAGATCTGTACCTCACCCCCAGCTGACAGGACACACACAGCTTCCCAAAGAACAAGTCTGAGGAGCAGATTTACTGTCTGCTTTCATTTATCCTCAACACAGAGAATATGTTAATCCACCGGCCCTGTGCCCCTTCTATGTAGATGTACCAGCAGCCCGGAGCTTCCTCCACTTAATGACTTTTAAATCGCGCGTAATGGAGATTTCTGTACCGTTGACGGCACAGAACAAATAAATGGTGACTAATTTGCACAAGCATTGTTGATACAATTATCCAGTTGAGTATTCCGGCAGAAAACCGTTATCCACCTCCATATGTTGCTAATCTTTTTCTTTCCCCAGTCCGTGCATGCAGCTTCAAACCCCTGACAAACTGCCGCCGCTCCCACGGCACTCCTACCTCTCCGTCATTTCATAAATCTGAAGGTGCAGCATTCCAAACAAGTCAGCTGTCCGGCCCAATTACTGCAGATACACACCGCAATGTAGCTGTGCAGAAACTGTGAGTCATGTGCAGGACATGCCTGATGACTTTACATGTGAAGTTGATGCTCGCTGGCATTTATTTCCAACACCTGGCTGGAGTGAAAATACACTTATTTTTTTTCACATGCGTCCACTTTGTGAAACTTGGTGTTTGATGTAATGTGTTTCCTGGTCTTATACACACTGTTTCTGTTCATGCAGGTACAGTGGCTGCTCCTGTTTGGCCTTCTGTGTGTCTGCATCAATGTGATGGAAGCCGAGCAACAAGTGTGCAACATAGCGGAGATGTGCACCCACTGCATTCCCCTAAAACACACAGCATGATGTATCTGACACACAGTGGCTGATACTTTCTGGAGTTGCGTATTAAGGATATTCTATAATTACAAAATACAATTATTTTGGTTTTGCACCTTTTGTCTGTTAATTTTATTGTTACTGTTTAATGTAGCGACAGGTAGGCCTAATGAACGACGTGTGGTCTGAGTTTTAATTATAAGGGATTTCAAATATTATTCAACACATTTGTATGTGTATTTGCCTGTCAGCGGAAGCCGCAGAGGCGCTAAATTGCAGGGGTTAATAGGAAATGCGCAGTTGTCTCTGACAGTCTCATTCAGAGGGATTATCACTTTTTGTTTCAGTTTTTGTCGAAGTGACGCCTGGCTCTCAACACTGCCCGGAGATAGCAGCTGTTTATCCAAAAAAGAAAAGAAAACACACATCACATCTGACATGGAGTCATGAGCGAGGCAGGAGAGTGGAGCCGCAGGGGCGCACATGCACGACTTGAGGGTAAATATAAAGAGAAAAGAGATTGTTCTTATTGTGGCGCATCGGCCGACTGGCGCCGAGCGGCTCTTCAAACTGAGTCCAAGTTAATCAGGAGCTGGGTGTTTAAAGGCGCTCAGCAGAGCGGAGGGCAGGGAGGCGGGGGGGTGGGGGCCGTGGCTCCCGGAGTCCCGCACTCACTGTCCTTGGTTTTGACAAAATACAACCTGTCGAAGATTACACGCTACCACCGCCTGCCCTGTGCGCACTAAATCATCTCATCACTGCGACAATACAAATCCCCGCAAACAGGAATAATAATAACACGAGGATATAAATAAATAAATAAATAAAGAACTTGAATTCTGAACTTATTAAACTTTATTTGGAACGAGGAAGAGTTTGTATCGAAGTGAGCACTCACCGCTTTTTTCCTTCTCTTTGATTTTTCTGTCAACATTCACTCATCATCATTCATCTGGTTTCCTCTTTTCCTCCACGCAGCATCTGGGTTTGTCTTTTCCAGGCTCGTCTCTTTATTGCGCTGCGGCTGCCTTCCCGTCAGCTCGATCAGGAAACACGCACAGATAAACGGCTCTCGCCTGGGGAAGCCGGGTCTGAATGAAGCTGAAGTCAGTGCAAGCAGCTAACATTTATAGCCTGGGCTAGTGATTCCAGCCTGAGCGTGAAAAAACAGCCGATAACATGGAATAATTATGGCTGTAATGTTTGGAGAACGACCGAGAAATGAGATAAATCTCTCCGGAATCGTCGTGGATTTACTGTAGTGAGTTGTTCTAAAAGACAGTGGAGAACTGCTGTTCCTCTGTGTTAAGGTGAGCATTAAAACAGTGACTCTGTGAACTGCTTTCTCCGGAGGCGACATTGTAAAAACGCAAGCCGAGAGAGGTGATGCCTCGACCGGCCAACAACTGAGGACTGACCCGGTGTTTGGCTTGGAAATGGGGGTGGGATTTCCCGATCTCTCCTGTCATTGGTTAATATTTTATTCTGTTGACATGTTTTCTTACTGCTAATGCTTCCGACACCTTCTTGTCCCCCCTCCTTTTCTAGAGTCTGACCGGAGCTGTCAGAACCACGCCTATAGGGGCCCACAATTGGTCCACAAAGCGTAAAATCAGCAATCAAAGGGGCTTGGTTCATTAGTGTTGGGGATGGAGGCAGGAAGGACATGTGAGATAGTCACAGATCTGCAGTGAACGGGGCCACATCTCTCCAGTCAGTGTGGGATGACTAAAGCAGAGAAACAGCTTACTTCTCTGAGAGGCACACAGCGCAGCCGGGCTTTGGCTTCACCGCGCCGCTTTTACTGAAGGAGTTGGCGGAGGAACCAAAGGAAAATCACATCCACAGGAACTCTTCGCTGTTTTCTTCAGCCTGATAACGCACTGTTTGTTTAACTGTGCAGTTTTGTACCGCTTTACAGAAATTCTCGCGAGTCGCGGACCTATACGCTCGCTCCGGGTTGCGGGGAAATACCAATAAACTATCCATTATTTCACTTCGGTTTTTGTGGATGCACCGATGAGAGATCCAGTTTTCACGGGGACTGCAATGGCTTATCACCCTTTCCACGCTCACCGGCCGACCGACTTCCCCATGTCCGCTTTTCTAGCGGCAGCGCAGCCTTCGTTCTTCCCGGCGCTTAGCCTCCCTCCTGGGATTCTCACCAAGCCCATGACGGACCACGGCCTCTCCGGGGCGGCGGAAGCTGCGCTCCACCCGGCCCTCAGCCACCACCAGGCCGCTCATCTCCGTAGCATGAAGAGCCTGGAGCCCGAGGAGGAGGTGGACGACGACCCCAAAGTTACACTGGAAGCCAAGGATCTTTGGGACCAGTTTCATAAAGTCGGGACGGAGATGGTTATTACCAAGTCCGGGAGGTAAGAATCTCTCAGACATTATTTTAAATAAAAAATCAGTTCATCTGTAGCCTATATGGGATATGCTGAGAATGAACCAGCACTGAACATGTTAGAGCAACTTAAACCCATTTAGTTACGTTGTTAAATGGCGTGTGTAAGGCCTTGGCTATTCAGTTTTTATTTATTAACATGTTTCGAGATTCATATTAAAAATAGGCAGAAAGTCCAGAGAATAGTCTACGGCAAGAATGTGCTATATTACCCTCGCAGATCACACTCAATATGTAGGTTTTAAATGGAGTTACTGTCCCATAACATTTGTAAAACTATCTTCAAAGTAAGTGAATTAATAAAAGGTCAATTTATTGTTTTCAATATTTATGATATTTTTCCAGGTAGCTACTAATTTAGGACATTTTTGGGGGAAATCATAACTGGGCTTTAATTCGTTTTTTCTCTCCCGAGCTGCATGTTGTCGAGGCAGCAGAGCTTCTGGATTTCATAAACAGACTGTCACTTCAAAAAGCAGAGACGTGAAGTGCTGTGGTCATAAATATAGGCTACTGCTCAGATTTGTAGTGTAGGGCATGAACAAAAAACACACACACAGACGGACAGACAGACACACACTAACACACACCACTGTCGCCTAACTGCGTGAGGATATTATCTGACAATAACAATATTCCCTCTAGTTTTACTTCATCCGCGTCGCCTGCAGTGCGTCTTTTTGTACAATTTGTTCAAGATCATTTGGTGTTGTGTTTTGGTTGAATCACGGTGTGTTAACTCCATGCGTGTTTCTCTGTGCAGGAGGATGTTCCCTCCATTCAAAGTGCGAATGAACGGACTCGATAAAAAAGCCAAATACATCTTGCTGATGGACATCGTGGCGGCGGACGACTGCCGCTACAAGTTCCACAACTCCCGCTGGATGGTGGCGGGCAAGGCCGATCCGGAGATGCCCAAGAGGATGTACATTCACCCGGACAGCCCGGCCACCGGCGAGCAGTGGATGGCCAAGCCTGTTGCTTTCCATAAACTCAAGCTGACCAACAACATTTCAGACAAGCACGGATTTGTAAGTATCTGGAGTTTTTAATCTCGCTTGAGAACAGACATTTTGAGTCTACATGTTAGAACAGGCAGGACAGTGTTTAGGTGATTTTAAAAACCAAATAAAACTTATGAAACAAATTGGGAAAGTGAGTCGCTGCAGCAGCAAAACAAATAATAATAATAATAATAATAATAGCAAAAGAAGAAACAGCCAAAGGTAAATAAATGAAATCCAACACATAGGCTATGTGCAAAATCAAAACAATATTGCAGGGAGATTTTAAATGGTGGTAAATAAAGAGTAACGATGTTGATACACAAATTAGAATGTAGTGCTTTAATCTAACATAGCCTACTATGCATTTAAAGATAAGAAGGCCTACATTTATCTTGTTGACACTTTTTCGCCACTTGACTTCCACCGGCCGCTGCACAGTTTATGTTTTGGTCCAGAATAGGACCAGCCTGAGTTTTCTCCTCTGCGTCCGAATATTTAAACCCAAAGCCGGCTGTGTGCAGCAGCTCAGGGACTGGAGTAAACCTCGGTTGCATTTGTCACCTTGCCCTTTTATTCTGTATTATTATTTTTATCTGAACTGAGTGTTTGCAAGCTTGCTTGGCATATCATCAACCTCAGAGTAGTATAGTATAGTATAGTATAGCATAGTATAGTATAGTAGGCTATAGTATAGTAGTATAGTAGGCTATAGTATAGTATAGTATAGTATAGTATAGTATAGTATAGTATAGTATAGTATAGTATAGTATAGTATAGTATAGTAGGCTATAGTATGGTAGGCCTACTGGTGTTATTTTGCATTCCAAACATTACCCCATAGTTTACTACTTATTGCTATTTAACCTGAATATATGTATTAGGGTTTGTAATATGGGTTATTAAATATGCAACAACCCCCTACAAATAATCGGCTTAATCTGGCAGGCAGACTGAGCTTCCCCCTGGAAACAAATGTAACATTTACATGTCTAAATTATTTGCAATCGGTTGGTAGGATTTCTATTAATGTAGCTACTGGTATTATTTGCACAAGTAGATATGCAAGTAGTCCTTATGCTGCTAATGTCTTGTTTTTGAGGTGTAGCCATAATGAATAAACTCATTTTATATTGAATTACCAATGTATTATAGTCCATTTTCAATTGTTCACCGATTTGTGAGGCTTAGTTTGGGGGGAATTTCTAAAATATAAGCTATATTATGGTAAAATTCATGGTGCTCCTCTTTTCTTTTCTTTTTTCTTTAAACCGGATCGAATCATTTTAGCTGTAATTCTGAACACTACATGACAGCATGTGTGGCCTGCTGAGGATTTTCCCTTTACCCCGCACTAATTACAGACAAGTCTGCTCACACAGTAATTATATTGTTCCATGCTCACTGCTTGTAGCACTTCGGGATTTTAAGTCAAATATGAAGTGCTTTATAAATGAAACCCATTATTATTATTATTATTATTATTATTATTATTATTATTATTATTATTATTATTAACGACATTAATAACAATGGATGGATCCGCGTCAACATATTCTGTCTATAGTGTCATATGGACGCCAAATATTCACTCCGCAGCTGTGTGTTTTTGTGTGTGTTGGTCCAGACCATCTTGAACTCCATGCACAAGTACCAGCCGCGGTTCCACATAGTGCGGGCCAACGACATCCTGAAGCTCCCCTACAGCACCTTCAGGACCTACGTGTTCCCGGAGACGGAGTTCGTGGCAGTGACAGCGTATCAGAACGACAAGGTGAGTCCCTGTTCACACTCAACCGACTGCCTCTAATATGGCTGCTATACTTTGCATAATAAATGTCCTACATGCATCCCCTCCCCCCACCTCCAACTCCCGAAGACTTAATCTGATTTTGTAGGTCGCCTAATTTCCCTGCAGAGGACTCCCATGTCCCACTTGTTTTTTATTTTTTTTATTTTTTTTTGCTTAGACTCGTGGGTGTATCGGATTTTTCTCACCATGAATTCAAATGTTCAATGCTATCTGCTATGAATTGATTATAAATGGATTATTACACTGACCACAAGTAAATAAATCATGCTTTTCCATGTGGAGTGTGTTTTGTGATTCAGGAGCAAAGATGGCAGACATGTGTTCCCATTTTTTTTGTCTTGTCAAAATCTGTTTTTTAGATTTAATAATAACAAATGTTTGACCTTTCAAAAAAACAGCATATTTAAATAGAGATGTTGTAAAGGCCTGTATTTGCTTATCATTATTGGCCCCTAGGCTGACACTTTATCCTCCTCCGTGAGGCTAATTGGAGCTTGTGTCCAGAGGGTAGGGTGCCTTGTAAAAGTTTATGGCAAAGAGTCACCATCGATTAGAGGGCCTTTAAAGGGCTGGTCAGCCCGCCGCCACAGTGGACAGATGCTGTAAGACACTCTCTCTGTCCAAATGGCAAACGCCTGAAGCTCTTGTCCAAGGGCCACAGGGCCTCGAAGCTCCTACAGGAGCCACCCAGTCGTGTGCCGGCTCCGTGGAGCCACACCAGCCTCTTCCACATCAGGACATACCGTGAAAAAGCAGTGATCCAAACCACATTATTAATTATTGATATGATAGTCATCTGTTGTGTTCCCTCTGTCTTTTTTTTCTGGAGGCTTGTGTGGCCCCATAGAGGAATATTTCGTGGCACATTTTCTCTCTAGGGGCCTATGAGAATAACGCCCCATACGCTTTTATTAATAATGCAGATCCGAGGCCTGTCGTGGCTTCTTTCCAACACGCTGGTTTCTGCGTGTTTATCCAAACGCGTTGTTGTCCCAAATATTGGGAACAATTGGCTTAACAATATTATCATGTTTTGACAGATAACGCAGCTGAAGATTGACAACAACCCTTTCGCCAAAGGATTCAGAGACACGGGGAACGGAAGGAGAGAGAAAAGGTATGAAATGCGTCCTTACACCTGTGCGTCATGCGTATGTCATGCATATCGCACATCACCATTCATTATTGTCTATATTATAAATGAACAGGAAACAGCTAACCATGCCGTCGCTCAGGATGTATGAAGACCAGTGCAAGGCGGACCGGGATGGTGCAGATTCGGACGCCTCGTCCAGTGACCCCCCCGGCCGGGACCCCGCGCACTCCCCGCTGGGAGCCGACAGCAGCCCGCTGAGGTTCAGCAGGCCCAGCCGAGGTAAGAAACCTTATCGTTTATCTATTTCAGTTTTAACGATGCTGTTTGATAATGGCTATGATGTGTTGTTGTTGTTGTCATCCATTTTTAAAATAATAATTCAAATAGTGTTAATCGGTTAAAATATTGAGTTTACATTGTATGAAATAATCAGCAGAAAATAAATTAGCTTATTTTCGTGTAGATAAAAACAAATGTTTCGCAGGTCTATGTGTTTTACGCGAATTTAGATGCATTCACGAAACAAATGATAATTTAAAAAAATGTAGGATATATGCACAGGTCATAGTGGATTTTGTACATGGTTATGTATTCCACAGCTGTCTGCGAATCATTGTGCCGCTTTATTTTATGAAATTCCAATTAATACATTTTATTAAATTGTTTAATTTGTAATAAATGTATGATACAGAAACTGTTTGGCAAATGATTATGTATTATTATCTAATAAGAACTGTGAACTCAAACAGTAAAGTCAACTTGATTTTTAACTGAATGTTAAAACATTTTTTAGAATAAACAGCAGTCGTCTATTAGGGTTATTGGCAATCGAGATCCTATTTTTTATTAATATTCTTTTAATGATTTTTTTTTTTTTTTTTTGTATCCATTATTTTTCAAATCCTAATTCAAATGACAAAAGACGTTTCAACCAGCATTAGTAAGTGGATGTTTTCATGTAAAATATTTAAACATGTGAAAAATAAAGCAGAAAATGATGCAAAGGCAGTAGCATCTTGCTATTATAGGCTATATGTGAATTTTCTAATTTGGAAATTAAATGTGAAGGGTGGATTTTGAGAGTGTAAGGCTCCCAATAGACTTATAGGGCCAACCTAGTGTGTGCATACTGGTTATTTGTGTGTTTTTTGCAATACCTGATAAAGTGTTATTTAAATCTGCTTACACCTCTTTTTTCCTATTCAATTTCTCATCTCATTTTATAGATGATAAAACATGCACTGACAGCGAGCAGGAGCTGGATCCTCACGACGAGCGCTGCACTGGCTCCAACAGCCCGGGCCCTGAACCTGTGTCCCCCTACAGCTCCAGGTGTGAGGAGCGCATCAGGGACAGGCCGAGCACAGAAAAGAAGGACGACTCCCTATTCAGGATAAGGAACCTTGAGAAGGACAAAGCGGAGAGCAGGCACAAGAAGGACACCACAGACGTGTTGACAAAGGACTCAGAGTCCGGAGGCATTAGTGCCACTAAGGAGTCCTTCTCTCCTCTCATGGTCCAGACCGAGAGCCCCTCGCACTTCAGCCCGGCCCACTTACAAAGCCTGGCTATGTCTGGCCTGCACAGTCAGCAGTTTTTTAACCCTCTGGGCGCCGGATCACCGTTGTTTTTCCACCCCGGGCAGTTCGCCATGGCCCCCGGAGCCTTTTCTGCCATGGGCATGGGGCATCTATTGGCCTCTGTATCCGGAGCAAGTGGTTTGGAAAACGTCCAGGGTTCAGGAGGAACCCCCAACCCCTTCCCCTTCCATCTGTCCCAGCACATGCTCGCCTCTCAGGTAAGGAAGTTCAACCTGTTAGAATACTTAGTTTGCCTGTACACCTGTTTGGATTGGGAGTACTTAGCTTTGTTTTAGCTGGTGGTCTGTGATGACCAGTGAAGTTAAATATAATGTATATGCTGCATGAGGTCAGGATTTTATTTTCTTTCTTTTTTGTAGTGGATCTATTTGTAAAAATAATTGTACACTCAAAATTAGGAAACACATTTTCAGACTTTCAAAATTCTGTTTGAAATTGTAAAAAAACTGAATCATTTGGGTGTGTGTTTGGAAAATGTATCACTTGATTATTTGACTGGAAAAGGGTGTACAGCTCTAACTCCAAGTTGTTTTCCTTTATATTACAGGGTATCCCCATGCCTCCGTTTGGCGGTCTGTTCCCGTACCCCTACACCTACATGGCGGCAGCTGCAGCAGCGGCCTCTGCCTCCGCCACCAGCACCTCCCTCTCCAGGAACCCCTTCCTGACTGCGTCACGTCCCCGACTCCGCTTCAACCCTTACCAGCTCCCAGTGTCGCTGCCTCAGAGCTCCAGTTTGCTCACCACCAGCCTGCAGGGCTGCCTCAACCCAGGGTCCGAATCCTCCAAACCGGGCAGCAGGGAGACCAGCCCGGCCCCGGAGCTCCACAGCAACCACAAGAAAGGAGGGTCCAGTGTGAGGGCCGCATCTCCTAAAACTTCAGTGAAGGACTCAGTGAATGAGCTGCAAAGCATCCAGAGACTGGTGAGCGGCCTGGAGGGCCAGCGGGAGCCCTCCCCCAGGGCAGACTCTCCCAAGTGATGAAGACTCTGTTCAGGATGAAGACTTGGCTTGAATACTAGAGGACTATAAGTGCAAATGTCCTGTACAGCACATTAAGGAGACTGGGATGAGGCTCGATCGATATGGGTTGCTGAAGGCCGATAACTGTTATTTCATGGAACAAAGCTGAGGATCGACAGAAACTTAGTCCATATTATTCAATTTAACTTAAAATCCTATACAAGTATTAACCCCGAGCCAGATAACCTTTCATCTATCATTAAGGTGTAATGATTATAGTTTAAAAACTATAAAACCAAACATTTAAAAGCTCCCCCCTGAAGCCCAGTGTTTGTAGATTAGTCCTTCTTGGAGGCAGGTATACTGGCAAACATTCCTAAATTGATATCTTTAAAATATAAAAAAAACTAACATTGAAGATGAATGTGAAACTGAAGAAATATACACTTAAATTATGGTTAATTTTAAATAACTGACCATTCAGCTCATGGACATGCCATCGATGAGTTCCACTAAGTTCCAACTCTATCATATCCATAATATCAGACCAGTATCGGCCCCATATATCGGTCTCCACACACGGATCGACGCACAGGGAGAGTGTGTGTTGGATTAGGCAACTTGAAGCGTTGAGCATCCAGGCTTGGTTTTTTTCAAATACCGAGCCGAGCCCTGAACGCCTCATCCCGCCGACAGGCAGGTCTCAAGCTGCATCCAAAAACTTATCTTTTTTTTCCAGGCCTGATATTTCAAAAGGCTTGGAAGGTGAACTGCGAGAGGGAGAAAGAGAGAACCGCTTATCATTTCATGCCCGAAAAATTGCTTCTGAACTATTTATGTAATTAAAGATAAAAGATTCTGTAAATAAAGCTAAGATCCAAGAATATGCAATTGGTATTAATTTATTCAAGGCTGTATATTAGCGTGTATATATTTCGAATTTAACTTGTTGCTTCTTTTTTTTCTTCTCCTCCTCCCCCTCTACCCCATTTTTGAACATATACTGTAAATGAAAGCTATTTAGCGCTTGTTGGTTTGAAAAACTGTGTATGAAGCATCGCAGATTTTAGGGTGACGTGTGTGCCATGTTAGTCTGTATCCACCGACAGAGACAGAGAGCTCCACATGGATTCAAAAACACCTCAGGTTACTTCACTCCAGCCAGGAGACATTCAAAGCAATTCCTCCTATGCGCATCATTCATATCTATTCAAAAATATATTTAAAGATGAAAGTAGGCCTATCTTGTTTTGTTTATGTTGGTTGTCCGGGTTTTTATTTTTTTTGATTGTCTCACAATTTCAATAAAAAAATCGTTGTGCTGAAATCTTGCAGGTGTATGATTATCTTTATTATATTATGACTTTGTATTGCTGTTAGATTCATCTCATTAGAGCGAAACAGATGTAAGCTATAATTATGGAGCATATTTTAAATGAAGTCATCTCTGGTTTTACACACTGTAGAGTGCACACGCATAAACACACGTGACAGGAGCGCCCCCTGTTGGCCAAATGTTTAACAGGAAACAATGCATGTGGTTTGTTAAATCACAATGCTATGGGTTTGATCCATAAATCATAAATACAAATATTAAAATCAGATGCTGAATTAATCGGTGAGGAAATTTTGCATTAAAGCTACACATGTGAATATTAAATGATATCTTATAATCTACCTGAGCAATAGAAAAAGGGACTTCTTATGTTTTACTGTTTCTAGGTTGTTTAGCAGTAGTCAGTCTTATAATGCTAAATCGGGCCTGTCTCCTGCATGCAGGCCTATTTAGAGCAGGTCCTCAGTCACCGTCAATAAGCATTTCCTTTAGTATTGTGTGGCCCTCTGTATTTTTAGAAAGAGTCGAGTAATGTAAGTATTTATAGGAAAGGCTTTCTCTGCTGCACTCATACACATCCTCTGCAGCCTGAGAGCAAATTGAACTGTTTATCAGGAAATATATTCTGGAAAACAAACTCCACATGAAATATGTTTTCACTTATATGGCATGCATCGCTTATTAAATGGGCTTAATATGTCACGATGTTTAAATAAACATAAAGTAAGCGTCTGTAGACGATGAACAGTAGGCTATTGTTTTTATTTAACTTTTCTAGCGTTTTAAAGCATTGGTCTTGCATGTTTGGTACCAAAGTCAACGTGAGTGTGAGTGTGTGCGTGTGTGTGTGTGTGTGTGTGTGTGTGTGTGTGTGTGTGTGTGTGTGTGTGTGTGTGTGTGTGTGTGTGTGTGGTGTGTGTGTGTGTGTGTGTGTGTGTGTGTGTGTGTGTGTCTCGGTTTAAAGGGTTAAGCAGGGGGAGTTTAGGGCAGCAGACAGCCTTTTGTCCGGGACCCGGCGCCTGTCGCCTGCCTGCCGGCCACAGCCTCCTCACCGCCCCGCTTCCTAATTAGAGAGCCTCCCCCTCCTCCTCCCCCCTTATCCCCCTGCTTCTTCATTTTCTTTTCTTTCTGCAGCGATAATCACAAAACTCTCATTCTATTACGGGGGCCATTGTTGCCACTCTGTTATCTTCAATTAACAGCGAGAGCGACTCGACCTCGCACTCTGGGAGAAAAAAGTATTTGTCTAAATCAATCAGTCAATGAGTGATCAATAGGCTCCTGTGGAGGCCCCGTGGATCATAACTATAATGACTGCTGACGGCGTGGGGTAAAAAGGCCAAGATTATTCACAACTTTGTTAAATGATCAGTGTAGGCCTATGTTGTTATTTAAGCTTTTGTAGGCCAACAGGAGAAGTTACACCGTTCATTTCCACACTGAAGACAAACGGCACATTTCCTGCTTTTTCTGTGTGAACCTGAACATCACAGAGGCTTGCCCTTCACTTTCTATCCTGCAGGATAAGGGTCTGTTGGAACAAATATTATTTTCATATATACAATTTGTATTCGTTTTCTTAGCATTTCTACAATAATGAATGTGATCAAATAGACAACATTGCAATATATCCTGTTTTAAATGCATTTTTCTATTGTTTTAATATATCCACTACCATTATTCAACATATTCATATTTTACATTTAGTACATGAATAAAATAATACGTTGTATACCAGCTGCATGCATGTGCATGCAAAATAAATATTTTTACTATAACATTTAGCTAATAAAACTTCTATTTATAATGAGGTTTTTGTACTTTAAGCTCCTTTTTACCAAATCAAATATTTGAATACTTCCTCCCACTAAAGATAATATATTGATATTTAAACAAATATATTTATATATTATTTTTATAATTGTAATAAGATTAATTAAAGTGTGAAGTGAACCGGTCTGACTATATTTTCTAACATCCCATTTCTTGTACAGTTGCTCTTGTGATCTGCCTTATGAGATGATCATGATGATATGGAAGCTAAAGGTGAACAATTTGCATATTTGAAGGTTGAGACTGACGGCTGGAGGCCAATATTTTACACCTGTTGACCATTAAATTATAATTTGTGCAAGCCCTATTGAGCTGCAAAATAAACCAGCATTGAAACTGTTTGAATTATTGTTTGAAATGTCAGAATATCAAAGCTGTCCTGTATTTGTGAATGAAAGGCTGTATCGGTGCAGTACTTGGTGTGATGGTGCTGGGAAGAGTCTACAGAGTGTGTATTGTTATGCTGCAGCTCTGCAGGCTTTTATTTCCGCAGGCTTCTCTCTGATTCGCTGCAGGGCTCAGGTGCAGCCATCACATTGGTCCACAGCAGAGCAGGAGAGGGCCAATCCAAGGCCTCTGTTCTTTAAGGACAGGCAGGGGGGAGGAAACACACCACCTCTAACCTCTAACTGTAACACTTATACAAGCCAGTACCACACACACACACAACACACACACACACACACACACACACACACACACACACACACACACACACACACACACACACACACACACACACACACACACACACACACACACACACACACACACACACACACAATCCAAATGTTTGACTTCAGGTCTAAAGGGGAGAGCACAGATTGCTTTGAGTTAACTCCAATCATCAGTGCAAGAGATGCATTAAAACACCTAATAAACACACCTATAAAATGCACTTGCTTTCAAAGCAGGCAAGACGAGGCACACAAGTCATGAATGAGTGTGTGTGTGTGTGTGTGTGTGTGTGTGTGTGTGTGTGTGTGTGTGTGTGTGTGTGTGTGTGTGTGTGTGTGTGTGTGTGTGTGTGTGTTGTGGGTAGTTTAGAGGTACAGTGTCACAGCATGCAAGCCTGTCGCCCCCTCCTGGACACTGAGGAAGGACTTCTGCCTAAAAGTGGGGTCTTCATTCAGGTATCAATAATACCAGGGTGCAATGATTTCACGTGTGTTGGACCTCATTCAGTCCAGAAGTACTTGGGTTCGGTTGGTGTTTTTTGTATTCTTTTGCAGACAAGGGGACCACTATCTTATAAAAATGTCAAAACTAAGCCTCAAACTACAACATGATGGTACTGTCTGTAGATGGACACTGGGACAGAGACATATTATATTACAAATATTAGTCCAAAATGTGTGTAGTTTTGCTAAAAGTATTTTTATGTAGCTGTCACTTTAGTAAGTGTTTCTCCATAAATGTGAACTGTTTGGATTACCTTTTTACAAATGCATGTGCCTATTGTTACAGTATGATTAATATTCCTCCTTCTAATCTCATAATACATACCATGGTCACTGCTCAACAAGGGCCGCTTGCTAAACAAACAACCACTAGGTGGCACACTCACTTACTTTGCAAGTTACATTATTGCATCCTCAAATACTTCATGACTTTTTTTTACCTGGATAAATAAAGGCTACAAACAAATACAAACAATGAGTCAATCGTTACTGTATTCAGAGAACAGAATCTTACATCATCACCATTAATCAGAGCAATTGATAATATTGTTGGTAATATTTCAAAAATCAAACTTATATGCATTAAGGAAACAAACAAATTGACAATAATCCATTCATCACATTTTTAAGTGTGAATTTCTGTAACAAATGACAGTCAGAAATAGACATTGCAAATATTTAAATAAGCGGATGAAAATGATTTGAAAAATAAATCTGTAATAATAATACTAAACATAATAATAATGGGTAAATGTTATGAATCTATTAAATGAGAAGTCAAATCAATAGTGACAATGATGTTAATATAAATTAAAGTCAATCAAAAAGTAAAATGATACAGTCAAATACAATAATCTGGAAGGGCATTAGGGTGAGATTTTGTATGTTGAGAGATCAGAAGTCCACTACCAAGATCTATTTTTGTTACTTTTATGGCATCCTACAGCCATTTCATATTTTTTATTTCTAATTTATACAAATATTTAAAAACAAATGTTGATATGAAACTAAAATATCAACCATATATGTTTGTATTCACACCTCATACCACCGTTGCACTACAGTATACAGTTCAATCCATTTACCCCTGACTCAAACACACATTGTGAATTTTATAAACCGATGATTAATTTGAATTATGTTCTGCTCCTATAAGTCCTTTACTCACAAATCACGACATTTGCAGACTGTTTACGGTTGCAAACAAGTCTTTTTGCAATGTGAGAGCCACATAACAGATTAAGGCAATAGTGCATGAAAGAGGTTGATGCAATTGTGCATAAAACCTTCAGTCAAACATGGTGGTGAAAACATTGAGGTGTGGGGATGTTTTGCCTATTGTGGGTTGGTGATTTTCCCAGGATGAACCTGAACAAAGGAAAGTAATTGTCATCTCTTGTAGCTAAGAGTTGTGAGGAAATCCATGCACTTGCTCCGAACACATTCTGTGACAAAGGTAGTACTCATATTTTGTGCCTGTACTATGTAAAAGTACAAATCCCTGAAAGTAAAATTATTACTTTTAAAATATGATGA